CGTATTCGCAAGTATCTCTGTATTTGCCTATAAGCGTATCCTTTGTTAGATCGTAAGTTATCGTTCTAAGCGAATGAAATAATTTTCCGATGTTGTTTCGACATCGTGTGTTGGATAAATGAAATTTCAGATGAAATACTTTGTGCAAGATATCTAGCACGAACGAGTTATGGCAATAATTACCTACGTCTTCTCATTAGTTAGAATTTACTGCAGGTTCCATTCCTCTAAATCGAATGTTTAATAATCTCATATAAATCAAGTGATGAATTCCAGCGTATATCGTACAGAGGTTGGCCTGTCGCAAGTGCGACAAGCAATCGTTTTGTACGCTGTTACGAGTACTTTTAGAAGCCTTTTTTAGATTCTTTGTCCAGAGACACGGAACGTACGAACGTTTCTGTAACAATCTTCTACGTCGAAACAATGTTTCTCGAGGCAAATTTACTTTTTTAAACAGAGTGCTGTATAAATTTCTACAGATTCGGGTAGATCTGGTAATGATAAACGCTTCCTGCCTATTTAACAAAATATCTCTGTGAAATGCACGAGAAACAGCACAGAAATTAATCAAACTACGCCTTACGTTCTCAAAATGTCTTTACCTTTGTTCGATTCTTTATTCAATTATTCTTCAGTTTCCTTTTCTCATTTAGTTTTAACGTTACCTCAGCATCAAAGATCGTTAGTAATTAGATTCTCTTGTTGCATGCAAATGCAAGCGAAAGAACATCTGTATCCATGCTGAAATGAAAGAGCAAAATCCTCAAACTCGATTTCCTCCAAAGCCAGACTAAGCACGATAAACTAAAAATTGTGCTTTCTCTGTTCACTCCTACTTCGGACGATCGTGCTCTTCGCAGTTGTATCGCTAATTACGGGGCGTTTTGTATGCAGTGCATATTCCTTACAAAGGCAACACGGTCGTGCAATTATAATCGTCTAACCAGCAATCCTCCTTTGGTCAAATACGTCCGTTTTATACGACACTTAGGAAAAAGTGCGAAGAGACAGTTGATGGCACTGACATTGCGAGTTCAAACGTCACTGTGCGCGGCGTCAGACAGGGGAACGAATATTCAAGATACTTCAATCGAATCGAAGAGGACGGGCAACGCGAACAAAAGATTCGACGAACAGATTTTCGCCGACACGAGGTTCCTGATACCAAGTTCCTGGAAAACTGCACGTTATGTGCATTTTTTCCTCCACGCGAGCAAGTCTCCGGATACCCAAGTTCCAGGAAAACTGTGTGTTGTTCCATCCTTTTTCCAAATGCTCGTTCGAGCGCCTCATTGTGCGCATCTCGCGCTGCGAATTTACCCCGTTGGCTTCGTCCTCTTTTTAACGATGCGCACAGGAGTCCCGAGGGCTGTTGGTTAATTAAAATTTTGAAATTCTAACTCGCGTCGAAAATGGCGCGCTGAAGCCCGTCCCAGGGTTTAGCTACCGCCGTCAAACACTCTCTTTGATCTTCTGTTCGGCCTTGCGCGCGTTCCACCCAAGTCCTGTTTAAATGCCGCTGCAAAGCGGATCGAACGCAATGTCGCAGGAATGTGGAGAATCCTCTTAAGGTGAGATTTCCTATAAGCGTCAGACGCGTTTATGTGGACAGACAAAGAGGCGAATCTACGTATCTACGGCGTACAATAATTTTTTTACTATCGTCGCAGCAACGCTGCCACGATCCGGTATCCCGGACGAAGAATGCAATTAAAGTCTTACGTATAAACAGATTAAACGTGACGAGCGCACGTTAAGTTCGTTTATGGCAACGTCTTTGGTATGCCCATGCTGTCAAGCGTCTTGAAAATGTCCGACGATCTGTTCACGGAACAACGCGTTAATATGAAATTATTTGCGCGTGCATAAACCAAGCGATCAACAAATTAATGTTGAGAATGTGGATGAAATGTTACGAAGGCAATCGCCTACAAATAGGCGAAGAGATTTGAAAAAGGAAGACGCGCAAGATGACGGTGGGTTGGTTAATCTTCGATCCCTCGAGCCAATGAAAACGTTTGACGTATTCGTAAACTTGTGCCATGAGATTTTTTCAGCGTGTCGAGTTGCATCCAGCGTGAGGTCATCAGCGACGTTGTTGCATCCAGTGTGAGGTCATCATCCAGTGTGAGGACGCTGTTGCATCTGGATGGATCGTATTTCACAGTATATCTCAGCTTCTTTCGTTAAAAGATTATATGCATCGACGCTTAGGTCTCGTGATGCATCTTCGAATGAACGTAGTTCGATATCGGTCAAGGACACTCGTATCGGTGCAGGAATTGGATGTGCTGTTAGTCGGTGATGAAGATTCGATCGACATGCAGGTTTCAACGTGAAGAGGGTGTCATTGATGCCAAATATAATGCACTGAATAACGTGTCGTCAGAATTTCTCAAGAAACTTGTAAGAAAGTCGATCTACGCTGCGAATGCCTTCAAAAAAGATTACTTTCCGCGATCGTGAGTGGCACGTCGATTAACTCGATGGAAATGTAATAATATTTTCTTGTTGCTCAACGACTACGAGAATAGGTCGAGTCCGGGCAATGCTCGACAGCGAAGCAATCTACGTCGCCTCGTTCTTTATCGATCCTATGCAACGCGACGAGAAGCATTAATGCAATCGTGCTAATTAACTGTCCATGATTAAAATGAAAAGTCTCGCATCGATCGAGGAACGGTGTTTCCGGTCAAGACATTTTGACAATCAAGAGAAATAAATCTTTTTGAAAAGAACATGCGTCGCTTCATAGCAACCATCTATCCCCAAAAAGCATTACTTTATAAGGACGAGCTCTTTCGAAGAACATTTTCTTTTCCGGGAATATGTGTTCTCCCTAAGAAGTCGTTTTCTAATACGAAAAAGGCTGTCCTTTTTTTCATTTAAATAATCGGAGTCAGAACTGGAGTTTAATTGTATCAAATGGATCGTACGACACTCGGAAAACAAAATAGTATATCATATTTGTCACCTTTCCTTTGCTATCGCGGGTCGAGCTTGAGTGATCCCTAGCCGTGCTTTTTTCATTCAAATAATCGGAGTCGAAACTCGAATTCGATCGTATTAAATCGATCGTGTGACATTCATCCAGCCCGTGCGAGTGATATTTAACTACTTTCCTTTGCTATCGTGGATCGAACTTGAGAGATTTCTAGCCGCGCTTTTTTCATTCAAATAATCGGAGTCGAAAGTCGAATTCGATCACATTAAACCGATCGCGCGACGTTCGAACAACAAAACAGTTGATATATTCCAATATAAATGATAGATATATTTCATATTTGGCTATATTTCTTTGCGACCGTAGGTCGAGCTTGAGAGATTCCTCAGTGATTTACAGATTCCACACGCGATTTAAAAAGTTTCCATTGGACATTGATCGACCGAGCTTTCCACTGTTCGTTTTTCGACTCGCTGGGTCAAAATTATCGCGCGGTTATATACATAAATGATCCTCTCGGAGAGGCGTGGGGGAAGCGAGGCAGAAGCTGCAATTACGGCAAATGTTGTTTTCGTGTTCCTATCCCCGACTAAAACGTTGCTTAATGCGTTTTTACAACGGGCGAGAAAAAGTCGAGCAATCTGTATCTCGGAATGATCATGGGCGCGGATCTGCCGGCGATTTCGCTGCGTAAAACCACGTCCATTTTTGTTTGTCGTCGACGTTCTATCGGCTGCATTAAGAGTACGCGTTCATTCTTGCGCCTCCTTTCATTCCCGCCGCGAATATAGTTAATGCTCGCGATTCATCAACGGCTGGTGGAGTAAAAAACACTCGCTTTCGTGGATAATCTGTTACAAGCGTCTCCCGGCATTTTCGTCCTCTTACGGCTGCCTCATCCGGATAAAAGAGAATCTCTTCCGTGTTAATACGCCGCAAATTATTTTTCCGGTTAATGTTCCCCGAGCAATTACGTCTCTAATTATTTTCTCTCAGAATCTGCAGTTCTTTCAACTTTAATACCGATTTTACAGGTACTAAGCAAAGTTTACTATTCTATGAAATTCCTTAAAAATCGCGACGAACCGGATGATGCCGCGTGAAGTATGCGAAACGCGAATTTCCGTCTCCAGCCGGTCAAGTGTTTAGCATTGTATAACCGAGAGAACTGAAAGTTAGTGGACAGGTATGAAGACATGAAAATTTCCAGCTGCCCCACAAGGTAGCCAAACACAGGGGCAATATCGTGGCCCTTGGTCCACGGAAAGGACAATGTGCAAAGGCATTATAGAGTTGCCCGGTGGGCAGAGATGCTCGCGAAACTGCTATTTTGCATCGTCAAACTGCGCCGTTTACTTCGATTTAACCGGGTCTCGCACAGCACGCGAAATAACACGTTTCTCGGTCCGAACGAAAGACGAAAGTGTAGTTTGCAAATTTCATCCCGCCTCTGTTAACCGTGCAGAGCAATCAGGTTCGTGAAAGCCAGCTTCTCTCTCTCTCTCTCTCCCTCTCTCTGGAGAGTAAGCGTGGCGGAAACTGCGAGTAGCAGTCGAGTTTTATAATTAAGAATGCGGTTTGCCGTCGCATTTGTACGAGCTTCCTGGCCCTTTCTGGCCATCGCAGATGTTGCGGTGGCCATCTTCGTCGCTGCGCAGCGCTGAATTTTAATTTACAAGCGGGATGACCGCGTCGTTAGGTAACTCGCATTCGCGTTCCTCGCACTCTCGCGAAACAACTTAACGTCTTATTTCGTTTCTCGTTAAGCGAAATATCTGAACACGTGTCGTAGCAAGTTTTCACGTGCGTATCGCGCTGGATACGTTCAACCGCCGCGTTTGTACGAACAGAAAGGTCCTCCTTTGTCCCGTGTTTAAGGCAAATCACAAGGCGCACGCTCTCGGTACGATCAATCAGTGGCGTGCAACGAACGTTTCTCAAAACGGAACAATCGCGCCTGGCATAATCGAGACCGTAGTCCGTGGTGCGCGATTTTTTCGCTATGAAAGAGAAGCAAGCGCGAGCGAAATAATTGGATTTGCTTTTCACTCACCCTGAAACTCCTTCCTGGCCGCGCTGACGGAAGTGACGATGTTGGCCACGTGTCCCAGCACCGTGGCGAACAGCAGCAGACCAAACAGCAGCTGAGCTATCACGAACAGATACTCGCCCTTGCTTCTCGGCCTGCAAAGCGAAATGGAAAAGCGTGATTCGACGACGTCATGCGTATTTTCTTTCGTCTTCCAATTCTTCGAGGCCAACTACCAAAGCATTTTAAAGCATCGCTTAAATCGCTAAATTTTATCATTCGTTCGTCTTCCTACTGATTTTAGAGACATTTTTAGACTGATTTTAGATTTTAGAGCTAATCGAACATCGACGATCGAAGGAGATCGGCATAAACGTAGAAACGATCCGGCTTTCGCGAGGAACAAACGAGCAGAGAAACTTTCGAAACGGTGTACTAAACGGACAGGAATATTTCATATTACGTCTCTTCTTTTTATGTCTTTCGCTTTTTGTTTTTTCGTTGGCTGCACGTACACGCGACATCGGCACCTCGAAGGTGCTTCGCACGTTTACCGCGGTTATATTCCATTCCAACGCAAATCTCTGAGATACAGAACTTTTCCGTCTTTAAGCTTTACTTATCTTTCTCAATTCTCCTATCGCAGTATGAGATATTTTGTCCCTTGAAACGTGTTTCCAAATAATCTGAGAATTGTTCGCTCGCAAAGAGAACCAAGAGTGGTCATTTTACAACGTTGGAGATTCCAGCAAAACTCGTGATCCTTCCGCGGAAGGCAGCGTGGACGACGATACAGTGAAATAGGGAGAAATCGAATTACCTGCGACGTTAGACGCTCTAGAACGTCCTGCGAGAATTTCTCGCTCTCAAGGAGGACCAAAAATGGCCATTTTTAAACATCCTGCTGTCTCTTCTACTTTATAACATTCGGGATTCGAGCAAAGCTCTTGATTCTCTCGCGGTAAGCAGCGTGGACGGAAATACAGCGCGATGAAACAGGCAGAGGAAAATCGAATTACCTGGGCAGGTCACCGATGGTGGTGAGGGCCAGCGTGCACCAGTAGTAGCTCTGCAAATATTTCTTCACCACGTCCGCCGTCTCCGAGTCGCTGAATACCCAGTTCTTACTGCCGAAGCCGTTGTTCTTATCGATAATGTGATAGAGGCACCCGTTCCAGTGAAAGATCACCAGTAAATAATGTATCAAGGATGTGGAGCGGAATAAATTCGGATAGTTGGTGTGTCGCTCGGTTCTGTCCATGAACGCCCAGAACCTGTGTGTGACAATGCAACAAAGAAGATCGCGTGAGATTGCAACATGCTCGTCACGGTGTTTTCCTTCGTCAATCGAATGGAAACCTCGAGTAAGGGTCTAGATCAGCTTTGACATATTTTCAGAGACATCAGATTCTACGTTCGCTCTGTACCGTGGGTTTCAGACGTAATTCGAGCATAATTTATTCCAGGCAATGATCGGGTAGCTATTGTTTCGTCCGATATTTAGAGTATAATTTTGTTGCGTTCTTGTCATTCATGAAGCGACAATGTTTACGCGGAATTTCGAGTTTAATACGGACAGACTCGTAAAAGTGGCGAGAGAGAGTCAGCTCGAGCGAAGGATCCAAAAATAATGTGTCCTCGCAAGTGCCGTAAGAAAGTTTGAGCATTCGATTGTTTTGCGCTATCCTAGGAAACTTTCTAAAGGAAAAAGACGAGGAGAGGAAAGTAGGTGATAAACGGAACGTGGTCAATACACGAGCATAGTTCGGCAACCTCTATTCGGTATATGGTTAAGCAAAACTTGCATCGTTTCTCACCCAATGATACTTTTCTAACGTCGAAACGCGTCTCAAGCTTCATCGAAATATACAGAGATTATTCCATTGATACGCGCGACTTCTCGTTTCAATTTCGCGTCAAATATCTTACCCGATCGTTGCGATTCTCTATCGACTGTTAAAATTAAAGATTAAATATAAATCGATTTAACGCGTTAATTAAACGTAAGATATTCCGTCGGCTTGTTCGTGGAACGTGCAACAAATCAAGATTCGCACTCACCGGTATATTTTCACGAGCCTAAAACCTCGAAGTATACTGTTGAATCCTATAGATAAGTATAAAAAGTCGAGGGGCAACAGGCACAGGATGTCCATGTAAAACGTAGTGCTGTTTGTATAGTGATTTCGCAGCTTCGTCGCGTCCGTTTGCAAGACACCGTCCTCTAAGTACCCGGTTCGAATGTGAAACACTATGTCCAGCACGTATAAAAAATCGGAAAAGTAGTCCAAGCAGAACCACACCCAGCGCGTTTCGCCTAAATAACATAAAATCACATTTCCATTTCAGATACGTCAGCATTTTTAAACCATACAATTCTTACACGCTATTAGATATCAATAATACTTTTTTCCTATCAGATAATTACAGATACAAATGTGACAGTCTAATCGATTTAATGAATTATACTTCGCATTAATATCCAGATATTAAAGTATATTCTCATATAAGCAATCCCAAGTTAAACTCTTTAAACAATTCGAGACTAGCATACATAATCCTATAAGTCTATAAGTGAGAGCTTTTTAAGCTTTTAATTCTACGAATCCACCGTTTTTTTGTACGAAGCTTTGCACTAAGTGAAGCATTTACTTGGAGGCGAGCAATGGGATGTTACGTTCTCTTTCTTTCTTTCTTCAGCTCCGGCGAATCGCTAAGAATCATTTCTTAAGGAGATAAGCGAGAAAATCAAAGTAATTTTAATTCTGGAAACTCAAATTGTCTCGATAATAAAATATCTGATCTACGATGATTTTCAATAATTTTCACGAAGCTTTACACATACATATATCTGATAGGATTGTCTTCGGTAAGTCGAGTTATTTTCTTATTCTTCTATTCTCCATTTCCCGATAAAGGAGCAAATCTTTCTTCGTTAAAATCGCACTTTTACGTGTAACATGGAATTGTATTGTCGATTTAAACAAATATTAAAATAAAATAAAAATAAATAAAATTCAATTCCATACTTGTTTCATATTTCCATTCCGACAGCGCATCTCAGTGCGGACTGAACGCGCGCGTATGCAAATTACTTTTTATTATATTTACGGACGAACAGTATAATAAGCTGACCAATTTCTTAAATCACGAAGATTGTCAAGAGAAACATCTACGTTTAAAGGATCAATTAGAATTGCTGCTGTAAAAGGGTGAAATAAGGCACGATAAAAATATAATTAATACTTTGTCAATCGCTGTAAACTTAACATAGGCGAAAACGCCTCGACAAGATGTGCCCGTTCTTCCGAGACAAAACGTTCGCATGGAATCTGTCGAGTCGCGGAGCAAAGGACTAACCGTTTATCTCTTGGAAGGCGACCCTGTAGATGATGACCCAGAAGTTGTAGAGAAAGGCAAGGGAGACCACCATCGACCAGTAATAACAGAGACGTCCCGCGGGATCGAAGATGAAGGACCAATTAGGGGCACCCGTACGAAAACCCTTTGTTCCTGCTTGTCCAGGGTAGCCTCTATTACCGCGTTGTTGCTGCTGTTGCTGCGCCGTATACCTACTATGGAAAATTAACAGCACAATGACTCGTGAAAACATAACGCGACAAACGAGCAGCTTGGTACGAAAATCGAGCAAATTCGCTTTTCCGAAGAAATTGCACGCGATGAAGTTTTACAATATTTTAATACGAGGACACTCGAAACCAGAGATACTCGGGTTTCGAAAGTTCGTAATCGCGCAACGATGCTTTCCTTTTTTTTTAATTTCGCAATCGGATTTCGTACTTTAACTTTCAGAATGATCTCTGTGTCCGAGTGCGTGGGACATTTTACAGGATTAAAGTTGAAATATCTTTCGTACTAGTCGTTTTTCGAACCAAGTAGTTTAATATCTTTTTTTTTCTAGAGGATTAAAAAATGCATCGAATCGCGTGAATAAATGTACAGTTTCGTTTTGCGAGACGAACGTTATCTTGGAATCTCCAACACGCGTCCAACCTGGATACGAGTATTTTACGATTATATGCTTTTCTTCTTCTTTCATTTTTTAACGTTCTCTAATAGCGTTCTCAAGGGATACAAATATAATAAATAGAAGATATATTACGTGTTTTAAATTGGGCAGAAAGATCCGAAGATCTTAATATCATAGAAAATCGCCTGGGGAAGACTTAATAGGCTATTGTACGAAGCAGCATAATGGAAGCAATGTAATGCTGTTTCCGAACTGAAAGAAGCGATTTTACAACGCCGACGAAACTTGGATCAAAATTATATAACGAAGCTTTACAGAAGTTTGCCGAAAGATCTTATCGTTTCATTGGAGATAAATTTTAAATATATATATATATATGTATATTCTTTAATAGAAAATTACTCTGAAGTTGCCATCATTTTATTGTGTCGTGCAATCCCTTTCTACTAGTATAGTTACACTAAAGCGAGGAAATAGCTTTTCTAGAAATTCGCACAATTCCATTATCTTATCCTGCGATGCGGCAATATTATTTTTGAAAATCTGTGTCTGTTTACATGAATTTTATACCTCTATATCGAAAAATAGCTAAATAAAAGAAACCTGCAATTCGCTAGAATAAACTACGTATTGCCAACGTGGAGGAAAGAAAACGGGACTGTATCGTTCGTTCTGATAGGAAATCACCAGGTGGAAAACATCGAACAATTTATTATCGTGAAACGTGTATAAACCAGCCTGCGATGCATATTGGAAATTGCTTCAAAATTGATCACGCTGTAGAAAAATTATAAGAAATAAGCTTTCGATTCTTTTGCAAAAATATGTTGCTCCACGTCCCTGTTCCTCGATGAATTTCTATTCGCATAAATCAAATATCGTTACAACACGTTACTCGATTGCAAATCCGATTCCTAGGTCCACGTTTTCGCGAAAAAGTGGCACCGAGTTGCTGGTAGCTAACGCAATGGACAGCAGTGCACGCGCGCTTTACAAGAAATGGTTGTTAGAGTCAAATACTTTTCAAATAATCCATGCTACCAGGATTACCATTCGTTCCAGCTCACAGCCGGATTCCAACGTTTGTTCCATGCCACAACGCGTGCACTCGACGTTTTCACGTTGCACGAGCGTTTGTTGCTAGATATTTACCACTTCAGGTTACCATCGAACGCTAGATTTCCTGCCGTCAAACACACCATGCCTGAGTAACGACCGACAAAAATTACGCCCCCGGCTCACCACCGTACATTCGCCATTTCACGCCGCTGCGGATGCATTCGTGCACTGCAGGCATTGGTCTGTGTCACGTGCTGCAGACAACAGGCCTGGCATAGAATACACGAGCGCAAAACGAACTTGCCTTGGATACGACAACCAGACACCTAACTTTCCGTTTATCCGGCTGTGTCAAAGTGACTCGAGTCGCGTAACTGTGCCTCGGAGCGCGTACATAGCTCAGACGAACGAGTGGTCCGTAAAAGTCACGCGGAAGCGTATCGACGGGAGCGAGAGAGCGCGCAGAACGCAGCGCACAGATGAGACAAACGCTTGAATATTTTAATAATTTTCTAATAATTCTTTTTTTTTATAATTCGTTTACTTCACATTTTCTTCGCGCAAGTTACGTTATAAATTTATATCATCGTTGTACCACAAGTTCGAACCTTGGTGACAAAGAAAGCGTTTATAGTTCTCGCAGCAGCCGATTGACTATAGCTTTGATCCAAGTTGACTCGCTTCAAGCACAGCCCTTATTACCCGAGTATCCAAGCACTCGGAGTACTCGTTGTTATCCTCCCGCTGAAGAACAGGATATGAGCCTGAAGATCCAGGTATCCGAGTACCAGAATATCCGGATTCGACTTTTCTTTCGTGATTACTCAAATATACGTACGAGAAGCTTTTCTTCTACGCTCGAATTAATAGATTCGGGAGACCAACTTTGCTTAAATTTATGATATAATATAACGTAATATAATATAACCAGCAGCTCATTTTCTGATTGCTCATTCGGGTACTCGGGTATCGATCGAGCTGGCGTATCCGAGTGCTGAAAAATTCGGGTGCCCGTAAGATCCTAGCGATGGTAGGGGACGGTGTCTCGAGCGAATACGACGCGATCGGATACTCACGTCTCGGTGCCGTTACAGCTGCTATTGCTGAGATGATTGACGGATGCTGGCGTGTGCAGGTGCGACTGGTCGCGCGAGGAAGTGAGCGCGACGGTGTATGGCAGCTTGAATCTGCCCCTCAGCTGGTCCCTCCTCTTCGGTTTGCGGCTTAGGTCGAACTCACTGGCGCCGCGATTCACGTAAGCCCCCTGAAGCGAGTCGCGGGACGAACTGAAATATCGCTGCGGTACCGAGTACACCTGTAACATATTCGTAGGATTTTTCTTCTTATTATTATTACTCACGAGCGTACAAACCCTTTGGTACGCAATTCCACAGTGAGTGTTTGGTTTTAAAATAAACGGAGGGAAAATTTACAGTGGTAGAATAAAATGTTACATTTAAAAAGAAAGGAACAAGAAATGAAGGGTATAATAACGAAAAGCATGGTGCAGTCGAATGGAAAATTCGATATCACGTCTTATAAAGTTCTCGCTGCCTATGCTCGTCCCGGGATTACTTTGTGTTGCGAACTTCTGCAAATTCGAATACGAATGTCGAGTTCCGAGGAAAGCCTCGCGGAACAAATTCTGAACGTTAACGGGGTAGTAGAAGACACCAGTTGAATTGTAATAAAATAAACGTCAGTCGATTGGACAATGATAAATGCGTTTTAGTTGTTCAGCTCATCTTCGTTAGGGAAAGAGTTTAAACTTAAAATGAACGTGGATATTGCGATACAGTTCTGCGATTCGCTGCAAGGGCGAACCTATAACTAAATAAAGGGCGAAGGTATAATCTGAATTTTTCTCTATCGTCTACCTTCTTTTTATCATTTACTCGCTATATCAATTGTCCAAACGAAAGAATAATATTAACCGTAAACACTATGCTATTAAGGATCCTCCAAAAAAGATACAGAAATTATTTTGCAATTAAGAGATGACAGACACGCCTCGGTCGATCATCCATTTATCTCTATGAAAAGTCCCTAATCGATCATTTGAACCACTCTGACAATCTTCGTACTTCGAAGAGTATTTATTTGAAGTATACTTCTTGAGCGTATCGATGATCATTCGCCAAAAAAGTCAAATGACAGAGTACACGCTAAAAGTGTCTTCGATTCCCAAAATACGAATAGTGGAGTTAAACGCCACTTTGTCGGCTCCATGGAAGAAGCAACAGCGGTGGCTATTAGGTGGAGCGACCCTAAGAACAGCAGATGGGAATCAAATGGATTTCTTGAGAGAAGGTCTAGAGCGGCCCTTCCAAGAAGTTGATACAGACAATTTATTTGATTAAAAACGAGCTTCCGTTGTGTGTCCTTCCGACCGAAAGGATTTATCCCTTTGTCATGCCAGTCTGCTTAAAATCTTCAGGAAGAGTTTTTCTTCTTTCTTCCTTTCTTTGTTCCCTTATCTTTTTACTGTTCTTCGTTTGGGAAATTGTTTTTTCTCCCAGTGATTACCCGGACTCCGGTTTAGGCACTGCTTTTTCTGTAGCTTTCGCACGAACAATGGAGGTCGTCTTCGTTGACACAATGGCACTGCGAAGGAAATTAAGAGACAATACGCTGGCTGAAAAGAATGGAAAAGCACTGGCATGATACGGTCGGACGAAGGAAGCATCGAACGAAGTGGTGCGACTAAAGGTTGATTCGAGGTTCGATGGATTTCTGACGAGTGTAATGAAAGTAGAATGTTCGAATAAGGGATGCAAATCAAGATTCGCAACCGGAGAGTGCTCTGTTTCCAGTTTCGTTAACATTCGTCTTCAATGACACGTAAATTTAACTCGCTTCCATTCATATTTTTCCATCTTTCGTGTATTCCACGCTTCTCGCGAATAAAATTGTTCGAGACGAGAAGACATCCGAAGAGGTAGAAACACGAAGGAGAAGTAAATTGATAAAGTTACTTTCTCTTCATAACGATAAGGCGAAATTAAATTGAACAAACTGTTTCTGAAACTACGTTTCTATGATACAATGATCAAAGACGCGTTTATTTATTGCTAAGCCTATTACTAGCGAAAATGAAGAAATATCACGCGCTAAATAAACTCCATGCTCCGCTGACATTAGAGAACAGTTGTTCCCACGTCAAGTTGCAAATATACATGTGGTTTGAACGCAGCTGTGGTTGCACGTGTTTTCACGAGGCGGTACGATCTAGTCGCATGTGCATAAATGGCTCCCATAACGTCGAATAAATCGCGAATACCGCGTGTTGGCAACGCTAACGGGAATGAAGCGTTTATTCGAGCAAATGCTCTTGTAATATTTCTTTCTTCGACGTGGCAATTCCTCGTTTCAGTGGAAATTTAGCAGGACGTTTGATCGATAATGTAATTTCGCTAGATCGCTAACAAAACGCGAGAAGAACATTCCAAAGAGCAAAAATTCCCCGCAGAAGCTTCGCATCACGTATCTCTAGCCGCTCAATTATACCGCTCCAATTTATTAAACTCGCTCGATCGTACTGAAAAGCCACGCGATTATTGGATCGGTTCTAACTCGCGGAACACGTACCAGGATTAATCCCATCGTCGGACTTAATAACGCAATTAGCGTCAAGCCTACTATCGATGCAATCAGCGAAACACTCGCGGAATAGACGAACCGACAAGGGAACATCGTCAACCTGCAAATTCAGAAAACTTCGAAACTCACGGCAATATGTGTATAGGGAGGATACGCAGACGCGTATCGCGCAATTTTTTTTCTGCTACCCAAATTCACTCTAAGGGGGTGCAATTACCCCTCGACATTCGGTTGGTTTCCAATTTTGCGTTACGACTCGCTATGACAGCGTTAAGTTTTCTACCGAACGACAGTTTTGATCGAAAGAAGTTACTTTCGCCTGATCTCCGAACCAAATATCGGTGATTTGAAAATCTCGTAAAAAAGGGGAAAATAAAAACTATATATTACTAGTACCCAAACGTGCTTTCTGAGAGAGTGCAACTTGCTCCTCGAGTTTCTTATACGACGACAAATAACGCAGATATTTAGACGATCCCGTTTAGTCGTACGCCCACCCTGTATATCCTCTGTATAAAGTTTCGCGATCCTCCGAACTGGCGGATTTGGGCGTCTTGCCCCGTGACCGTCGAACGTCGTACTGACCTGCTGTTGCTGATGATAATAATGATGAGTGGGCGTGTGGCGGCTCATGCATTTGCTGCTGACCAGTTCCAGGAGGCTCTGCCTGGAAGGTATAGCACCCCTGGAAACGTTGTCCGCGCTCTTCGTGTCCTCTTCCTTCTCTCTTCTGATTCCAGTCTTGCCATCCAGCATCCTCCCTTGTTTGTCCTCGCGGAGTTTCTCACCGCCGCAGCTCAAAGCGGAAGCGGAACCACCGCTGTACCGATCTCTTCCTCCGCCGCCACTCCCTGTGATTATGCCTGTAACAAAAGGAAATCGCTTGATTCTCGTTTCCCTCGTTCCCCTTGCTAGCCGCCTAGTCTTTCTTCTCTCTACCACTTTCCTTCCGTCTTATCGCTTCTTTCTCGCTTTTCTTTCGAACAGCGTCGCTAACGAGCAAAAACGCGTTGAGGGCTGTCGATTAGAATCGACTGAGCGCGGCTATCGATCGCATATCGCGTACAAAGTGTCGCCAAACATCGTATAACTGTGCCGAGATCGATGTCGGGCATTGGATTTCCCGGTTTCACGGACAGGGTAATAATTAGCAGGTTTATAACTTCGCTGATGGAGGCCAGCGATCGTCGGTTTTCTATTTTATTTTTCGAAGAACAGGAATATTCGATTCGCCGAGTGGAAATATTCCTTCTACCTCGTTTTCTTTTTTCTCTTTTTTTATTGAATTGTTTATTTCGAGCTGGCTTCGGGCGTTAATTGGCGATCGAGAAAGTATTTTTCAAATATCCAGGTCAACAATTTTCTGTCTTTTCGTATTTAGGTCAAGCAACGAGAATTACCAATTCCGGTGAATCAGCGAAGTTGACAGAATCGGTAACAATTATCAGGAAACACGTAACACCGTCTCAGAAATAAAAAGTTACGCAAATGCGATTCGCTTTCTACTCGAAGTGTAAAGGTAATTGCACGATTTCAGAGACGTTCGGTTGAAACTACATAGGGAACATGTATTTTGCCTGAGCAAGTTATCTACGCATGTCAGGGTATCAAGGTGCAATAGACGAGAAGATAAACGTAAAAGGGTACAATGATATTCGCTCGAAGGAATCGGTGTGGAACAAGCAAATAAGCAAGAACTGTAACTGAACTAGATAAGAACTTACGACGTATCCTCGTGTCGCTATCTGAAATAAAATTCAAAATGTCGAGCGTGTTCGATACGAAAGAGAAAATGCAACAACGCGGACCAGCGTTTCTGGTAGTCGCAAGCTACGGAAACTCTAGAGACGCGTTATAAAGCCTTGGTGCAGTAGACGAGCAATTCGCGAGCACGACGATCGTTTCCCCTTGGGCCTGGTACTTCGGTTGACCTACAGCGCTACCTTGCTAACCTTCTACATAGTTATCAAAGTGGACAGGTTGTTCGGGATCCTACGGAAACCATCTAAGTCGCCTGCAGACGTGTCATTGCCTGTATCTCGAGATTGCTTATAAACTGGTACAGCGACGAGATTCCAATCATATTCTGACTAAATAGATTCGATACAGACTTGCACCGTACGAGCAACAGGCGATCTTGTTCGAGTCGGTAGCCCAATCTCTGAGAACAAATTTCGCTTTACGTAAGTATTTCAGAAAAAATGAAATCATCGTTCATGAACTACTTGTTACGTAAATGTGTTAAATTGCATTGGTTTCTTCGATTCAAATGTGAATTATCTGTCGTCGAAGGATCGTTTCAAATTAAATTTCTCGGATTTGTTGGCGATTAGTGTTTTATTTGTTTATTTATTTCGCGTACCTTTTTATATACGTAAGCGAAGTCGCGAATGGAAAAAGTTCAAGAAACGGTGTTGGATATATGTTTACACTAGACTTGGACAAACCTTATTTGAAATAAAGATAAACAATAAAACTTTTGGAGAATCAATCGTATTAACTAATCCTATTTTGTGCGGAGATCAAATAATTTTCCACTTTGATCAACTTTATCGAATAAAGTAACAAATAATTTGGAGCTCGGTATTAATCTCAATGTTGAATACTGTGTATTACGTACCACTTGAGCCACGAGCAATACAGCTGAATTATTTTACCATCTTATAATATTTACTTCAATTAATTAAATTCAAGTAATATACAATGCGTATCTGACACGAGATACGTTGCAAAGATAATTGGTATTTGCAACGTAACTTACGATATACGCGATACAAAATAATATTAACAAAGTTAGAAATTATTCTGGATATTATTTCTGGACACATTTAATTAAATAAAAAATGCAAAGTTAAATAAAAAGATATTTAATTTACCACGGTATTAATATCTGTTTGACCAATCGAAAAAAAGATGTATGTAGCTTTAGCGTTGGTCAATTTTTTTGAAAGTCTTTGTCCACGTTTAATCGCTATCCACCAAATATTTTATCAGAATTTTTGTTCTGAATGGCGTTTCAGCTTTCGTATTGACCATCGACTCGTTTTTACAGGAACCAACTTTTACACGACTAAAACAATTGACAATGTTTCTCTTTGGCATGCCGGTAGAGGAAGGATCAAGCTTCACAGTAGAGACACGTAACTGTCTACTTACTTTCTCGCAACTTTGATGGAAATAGGATTATTCTCGAAACTTTATCGTCACACCTCGTATATGAAACTTTATACAAGTTTCCGGTACCGACATACCTCAGCTATTAGCCGTAAGTTTTGTTCGTTTGTGACGCGAGTTAGCAAGAATTTACAAGTCAATATCGTAAACAAATTGTTACAAAATATTGCTTTTTAGCAGAGATGTATTATCTATTTAATATTTATATATCCGAAGTAAATATTATTCTAGATAATATTAAATAAAATTCAAAGGAATACACAAAACACATACGAAGTAATGAGACTAAATTTGATATTAAATTCGCAGCTTTTTTTATTTCGTGAATAGCCGCAAGGAACTTTTACGATTTTTTAATGGGCTTTGTTAACAGACGTTAAAAATTCAGAATTAGATATAGCTATACTAAAATCGATCGTAGCAGGGGGAATCGTAACAAATGTTTGCAACGAAAATTCTAGTGTGATACACAGAATGTTTCGATGAAACGAAAAAATATTGGAACCAAGTCCTACGCAATCTATAGCCTCCTCTCTATCCCGAGCTATATATCAGATGGCAGCGTAGATGGCAAAAAAGGAAAGCAAAGACTGTGTTCAAATTGAAATTTTACAGCAAGCATTTGAAGCTTCGATTTCGTTGGCACGTTTTATGGCCTGTATCGTCTAATGAAAAGAAAAAGAAAGAAAGAAAAAAAAAAGGAGGGAAGAAATCGTGATTTTATGTGCGACATGTGTGCATAAATGCGAGCTGAGATACACGATTGAAGCATAAAATTTTGTAGCGACAGAAACTTTCTATAAAGAATTGTTACATCACAAAAAAAAAAAAAAACTGAAAATTAAATTCTGAAATTTATTCCTGTTTCTTTCAGTTTGAAATTACGATCTCAACACGCTCAAAACAATACTATTACATATTTGTATTTAAAATGTATTTAAAATATACATAAAATACACAAAGACGTTCAAGAACCAATTTATCATCCATTTGGCAAAGTTTATGAAAATATGGAGTTTTTTGGGTTGGCAAGCAAGGAAATGCGGATTTCGTCGATACAAATCAATGACAAAATCCGCATTCCTTAGTTGCGAAACCATTAAACATACTAAATTTTATAAGCCTGCAATCGAATCGTGTATTCAATTGTAAGAGGATTGAAATTTATTGAAAAATATTGACCTATATATCGATATCCATAGAATTTAGTTAATCACTACAGTAAAATCTATCTATAAATTTATATTACAATATATCTGTGTTGCCAGATATGTAATCATACTATATCATATTATATTACATTATTATATCGCTCGGCAATGTGCGTGTAAAATAATAACAGATGTACAGAATGAATTAAAAAATATATATTATACATAATTTTCTTTGTGTCGAATGACAACGCGGACACTCGCACGCGCAGTTATAAACAAGGCTCACACAGAGGTTGTTTATTTCGACTCGCAGTGTTTAATATGTAGAAAAAGACGAGGAGATCGATGGCTGATGGATGTAAAGAGATCTTCAAACGGCAAACGTGTCGGCAATGTTTGTGTTTTTGCCCGTGTCACAGATACACAAAACGAGCAGGATTCGATGTCCACCTAGTATTGACAGTTTTTTGCGAATGTCTCGAAAAAACTAGGTCGACCGAAGGTGTTATACGTATGTGAAAAAGTTATTTAGGATCATCTCCTCGATAACATATTCGAAAATTATCGAATCGTCGAGAACAAACTTTTGTTATTTATTTAAACACATGCTGTATACGAAGTAATTGATATCGCGTTATTATCAGTATTCAAATCGATTTAGCCAATAAAAACTTACATAAGTGAAAAATACTGTAGTCTAACCGATATTATTAGTACTTTGGATGGAAAAAATCCTAAATTTAATATTTTATTCGGCACGTACTTATAGTAAATATAGCCTTCGACCAAAAATAATTATGTTACCGAGGTAAAAGGTCCACGTATAACATTTATTTGGGGGGCGCAAAATTATCGACTTTTTTTATCTGGAATCTTGTAGTTTCCGACGTGTAAAATCCGAAAATGCAAGTTTTACGGTATTGAATTCGCTGGTTCTAAAATTATGCGTATATAAAGTCGACCATTTTCAGCCAATATGGCGTCAAAGTGACCTACTAAATACGTTAGAAGTGTTGAATTTTATATACGCAGAACTTTCCAACCAGTGAATTCACTGTCATAAAACTTGATTTTTACGTCGAAACGTTGAAAATTACAAGATGGCAAAAAAAGAAATAGCGTAATTCTGCGTCCACTAGGAAGGGTGAACCAAAAAATAATATGTTAAAAGCTATGCCCAGCCGCAAGGCGGGAAGAAGAACGCGGAGGAACAAGACGAGCCTCTACTAGAATTTTCTCTTATAAAGAATAATGTATCCCACCTTGTCTTTCTGCTTTATTGTCCTATCGGCTCTCCAAAGATTCTCACCGGCCTCTGTTGTCCGACAAGGAATACGTACGTTATGCTTGCGCATAACGTTCTTGCTTCCGACGCCATGTTGGTCTTCTAGACTCTTCCTTGGCGAACGCCCAGATTTGTTTGTATGGCAGCGATTTAAACTTGGATTTTCGCTTACGAACATCTTGGACGACGAATGAAGACAGTATATTAAACTGTATTCCGTATAAGCACAAACGCGAAGAAACGATAAAGTTGCTCGTGCCGTGTCGTAAACACGTGCGTCTGCCAATCGATCGAAATACGAACTGACCTTCTTCACCCCGTACAAGTCGCGCGTAGAGCAATACCCCCACCCCGCGCCTCATCGTTCCGTTGACGTGCTATCGATTATCGATATCGCGGCGAGATCGATGCTATTGCGCACCTCGATCGCGCAGGCGGGGTCCC